TTCCTTCCTTCCTTCCTTCCTTCCTTCCTTCCTTCCTTCCTTCCTTCCTTCCTTCCTTCCTTCCTGCCTTCTCCTCAAAGTTTAGTATTTCTAGTATGTGTGTTAATTAAGTACAGACTTTTCCCCAGGTGATAGTATAGTTATGAAGTAGTTTGCACCTTTTGAACATAACATTTTCTAATTTAAGGGGTTTTTTTCAGAGATTTTTTTTTTCAGATTTTTTATGTTTTCTTGTTTCTTTCATGTCTCTAGCCAACAAGGACGCTAGTTATGACAAGTATGTCTTCTGAGTAAGTATTAAGCATTTTGATTCTTTATTCAGCCTACCATTTAAATTTGAATATTAATAATTTTTTATGCTTATAGAAAATTAAATTTATCTTTGGGCTCTGCACTTTATTTCGTTTTGAATTCTTGCTAGAAACTTGTTTGTACATATGTATTTTGTTGTTATTTGCAATGTATATATAAGTTTTTGTTTTTCTGGTGGAGACTGAAGTAGTTCCATAGGTGAGATCAACAAAGGTTCAGAGCAATAACACTATAATCTTAAGCAAGTTTTGAACTTATCTGAAGGAAATGTACATAGTAGTTGTATGTAGTAAATGGTTCAGCCCAACACAGCCTTTTCAGCATACATTTTAATTATTTCTAATTAAAAAGTTATAATCTGAAACATCAGTTTAAAATGTTTTATTTCATACGAATAGTTGCAGAATAAATATCAGTTGTAGGCTTTCTACTGAATTCATTTCAGAACATTAGAAGCAGCTGCCACTGCATATTTTGGGAGAGAGTTAATAATTTTCTGGCATGCTCTTATCATTCTCTTAAAAGTCTTAAAGCATAAGGAACATCCAACAAAAACACGATTCCATATTTTATACTACACTTGCTTACAGTTTTTGAATTCTTTTTCAAAACTCAAGATATTTATACCACCCAAAAATCTGTTTCAGGTTTGCTGTAACTAAATGTTGACAGTTACATAGAAATAAATACTCAGAAACAGCACTTAGTGGCTATGCTTTCAGAAGTTTTTTGTAAAAGGTTATCAATAGCTATTAACAAGTGTACTTGTATATGTCAGGGACATAAAAGAGAATTGATATTTTTCTTCTATTTAATGTGACTGGATGCTAGTAATACCAGGACTATAAAATGAACCTCACAAGTCATGCAATGCAGAATCACTGTGGATCGTCACTACAGTGCAGATAATAGTAGCTACAACCTCGAAAGTGATTCATTAGAATTTGCATTTTAAGATGCATGAGTTCAGTAGTTTCATGGCATTGGGTTTTGAAATTATAATAAATGCTGCTCACTGATTCACAACCATACAGCTATCTAATTTTCTGATTTAAAAATTCACTGAAATTTTGCTATAAATTTTCATCAGTTTTTGCAGCTGTCCCAAGTATAAACTGGTGAGTTTTCTCTGCAGTTTGTAACACATCTTTGATTCAAGACTTGTACAACAAAAAATTTTCTTCTCCTTGTGAGGAATTTTGTGTAGACACAGGAAGAATTTAGAAAAGGTTCAGGTAAAGCATGGAGCATGCAGTCTGGGCAGGGCCAGCACCTATGAGTTGCAATGTTCCAAAAACATTCACTTGTAGGCTATATCAAGCTAAAGCTCACAAAATGAAAAGGGAATACTAAGAATTCTAGTAACAATCAAAGCTATAAAACCAAGGCCAGAATTCATAACAGGGAGAAGGTTAGCCATAGGATTTTTTTATAGTATGTCAACATACAATATCACCTTTTGATTTAATTGTGACATTAATTTGCTGTACGGTTTTCACTATTCATTTTCTTGTTTTAAATTTCTTGAAAAATGATTGCTCCAATTTTTGTGAAGAATTTTTTTTCAGTTTTGTTGGGATTCTGTTAAGTAGTGTTTGATTTAGCTGGGGTATTTTGGGAGTTCTACCAGACTTCCTTTCTGTGGAGTTAAATGCAGTGAAAATGAAGCAACCCCAAAGGCTTCTGGAGGTGCTCTGAGTGCACTTGCATTGTTTGTGATTACCTCAGAAGTTTTGCCTTAAAGGATCACCACTGTGATAGTGTGGCTGTGTTCAAGGTTGTGACTTGTTGCTTTCTCTTGTGTTGCATGGACATTTCCAAGTTAGTTAGGGAGTAGAGAGGCCACCAGAATTTTGCTTTATTTTACAGATCTTTAAGGATCATTTATAATTGTAAAAATAATCATTAACAAAAGCAGTAAATTGTTATCATGCAACAGCTTTCCTCTTGTGATACTAAGGTCTTTCTGTTTTCATAATTCTTTATTTATATGCTCCTGCATAGCTATGTAGAAAGCTCAAATTAGAATTCCAGTTATAGATGGCCATTCTGGAATGTAGACCTAATTTTATGTATTTCATTGTAATCATCCTTGTATTTAAGGATAAGTGAATTTTTAATTGAAACATTGCATAGATGTGTAGGTTGCAAGCCAGATAGAACCTTAGGACTTTTCTAAATTTAGACACAGCATTGTTCAGATGCTGAATATCTGGGTCTTCTTAATGAAAACCTGTTAAATGTGCTGTGTCTGCATGTTTACATTCCTTGGTAATATTTTTTATAGTTCTTATAGTTTTATATTCTTTATATAAAAGAAACAAAGAATTAGGCTCTGTTGTGTTGGGCATTGTACACAAACAACATAATGGATAATTCTGCACTCAAAAGCTTTTATTTAAACAGACAAGATAGATGAGGGGGGCAGAAGGGCTTTGATGTGCAAGTAGATGTGATTGTGTGATAATGGAAAAGGGTCTGTTAGGACTCTGGAGAGGCTAATGAATTTAGGGCTAGTAAATAGGTAGAGGCTTAGTGAGAAAAGGATAAAAAATGTTTAGTGGGAAAAGAAATGAGGTGAATTTGAATTAATTTGTGGTGTATGTACATGCTTTTATAATTCTGCCTTCCTCTATTCAATGTTGCATGGGCTTTTTTATCTTTTCTTCTTTTTTAGGAAGCAAAATACAGTAATTCAGGTTGTGAAGAAACTTGGAGACTTTTTGTTCTCAAATGAAGTGTGTGAAACAACAAGTCATGTAGTTACTGGGAGTCCTCGTCGTACCTTGAATGTTATGCTGGGAATTGCTCGTGGGTGTTGGATTGTTTCTTATGAATGGGTAAGAAATGTTTCTAACTTTACTACACAAGAAATTAAATTTAGTTTGTATAGCTGAAATATCAACTATGTTTGTATCCATGCTACCTGCAGTGATGCCAATGTTCAGTTATTCAGGCTTACTTAGTTCAATTATATGAAATTTGTCTGTGTGAAAATCTGTTAGTTAGTTATGGTTTTTCAGTGCTTAATTTAACCAAAATATTCCTGTGTTGTTCCTCATTATCTAGCTTAGAAAGAGGACTTATCTCATGGATGAGAAACTCATGTCCCATGCATTATTTTTGGACAGATTAATTTCTGCTCAACATCAGCCAACTCACATAATTCAGATTGAACTTTTTATGTCCTGATATATTTCTGTTATGTTCTGGAACATGTATTATGTTCAGCATTGGAAAAAATAAAGGGAAATTCTTAGATATTTCACTGCAAATGGGAAAAAATGTATAATAGGTATAGTGGTGAGTGGGTGGGGACTTATCTGTGAGCCCAGCTTAATCCATCTCCATTGCTCACTGTAATAATAGAGATTAGCCACTCAGTCTGACATTGCAGATGACAGTTTCTCAGCTTTTCTCATGTTTCCAGAGCTATGAAACATCGATGGTGAAATTCATATGGCAACAGCTCTTCATCTTATACAGAAAAGGATTGTTGAGTAACTAAATTTCGTGGTTTCCTCTTTCTTATAAATGCTTTAAAATTTACTTGTTGGGTGGAAAATAAACTGCTGCCTTTTTGTTTTCAAGATGTCTGGCACTTTTCAGTATGAAGTTTGTCCTGTATGATATATATGCAGTTATCTGAAGTTCTTGTGGTATACTTCAGGTTTTTCAGAATGTCTTGGTGATTAATTTTCTTGGAATAGAGGGTTTGCATCTTTGGCCACCTTAAGGATCCAGTAATGTTCTTTTGTGGCAAAAGAAAACTAATAGCATCCTTGGCTGCATTAAGAGGAGCATATTTGAGCAGGGGTTTTGGAGAAGAGCATCTTAACAGACTCATTCCAGCCTACTATATGATTCTTTGCATCTATTAATTAAATACACTGAATTATCTGTCCCACATTTAGCTTTGTATGGAGCATTAAACAAGTTACAAAGTAATTGTCACAAGTTACTTTTTCATACCGGGGTGCTCAAACATGAAAGCTGCCTTTTTCCTTGAAAAAAAGCTTCAAATAACTACAAAGATAGCTAGAGATAAGTACTACAAAATAGTTTTCTGTCTTTGTACATAAAGCAGTATGGATAATCAGTATTCAAAGTGCTGTCCTAGAATTTCATTGCCCATTTTATGCCCTGCACTTCTGTGAACAAATACATGGTGAAAATATCTACCTATGCTCTTCATAGAGCACTTTTGGTTGGAAATGTTGCCCTCCTGTCTTATGGTCTACCTTGTAGACTCATCCTGGGATCACCTATATCCCTCCTATAATGCCAATAAGTTGAATGAAATTGTTTCAAGGATTAGTTTGTCCCTGTAGATGTTATTGGATCAAATGCTGATGCTGTTTTCACTCATTTTATTGAGCTGCTATTTAGACAAAGATCTGAAGTTACTAGGAGAGATGCATGAGAAAGAACTAGAGATGAACTTCGGATCTCCAGATCAGGTTTGATCTCATAGTATCTGCTTATCTGGAATATTGCTATTTTTTAATATTTCTAGAACTGTGCTTATCTCTTTCACAGAGACTAGGTCCAACTTTGCCAATAAATGTATGTTCCCTCAATTTATTTATTTTTTTATTTATTTATTAAACTATATTAAAACATTGCTTTTAACCTTTTAAAAAAATATATCTTCACCTGTTTAAATCATTCAATCATATGATGTAAGTGCTTCATTTTCTTATTTCATATTCTGTCAATGGCCACTTGGCCATAAGATGACCAAGTACTTTTGCCATCTTTTTACCCAAATTGGTTAACTAGAGATGAGAAAACTGAAGCCTTACCTAGCCAGAATTGAGGAATTCAGTAGAAAATTAGTCAGTAAATATATTTACCTCTGCCTTTTGACTTGTGGACATAATTTAAGGTAAAGTGGTTTTTTTCTCCTGAGAAAAACTTAAAATGTTATTTTTAGAGATGGATGTTGGAGAAATACCAAATTTACCATCAGATATTTAACCTTGATAGCACTCCATTTACATTTTCAAGATGAATTATTCAAGTATAAATACCATATGATCATGCATTGCACTAGGTAGATAGGTGAGAGACCTTAAATAATAACTAACCCAATAGTGTGTTTTCAGACCCTTTGAGCTAACTCTTTTATAACTGCGCATTTGAAAACTTCGAGATAGCTCTTTATTCTCAATAGAAACACACATTCTGAAGTACTCAGCTAAGAATAACATTGCAAATCATAGCTTCTTTTTGAATTACATGAATCTGAAGAATTTTTTGGTGTTGCTAAGAAAATATAACTGGTTGAAAATTTGCCAATGTCAGAAACAAACTTTCAGTGACTTGGAATGGAAAGCTCTTGTCTTTGTTTTCATGAAAACTGAATGTTTTAGTGAGTGGTGGCCTAATTATTTACTGCAGGACCTGTTCATGAACTCAGTATCCAATTTTCTTTTTATCTAGGAGAGTAGATACGATGGCTTTGTACTCAGTTCCAGAACCATGATAGACAAGCATTAATCCATCTTTTGTTAAGACAAACAAATTTCATTTCTAAACAAAATTCTGTAAATACTACAAGGGTTGACAAAGGTCATTGCTGTAGAATTGGCCTGGAAAATGAAATAGGATTACTTAATCATAACTAATCTTTTGGGTTTATATTTTAATCTATTTAGGTTGTTTTCCAGCTACTTTTGATACAAACATAGTTTTGGTACTATAAGAACGTGATGTATATGTAATACAGCACAGTACATCTGTTCCTGTTCAAGTTTATTTATGAAGAATTTTTTTAATGTAATATGTCTATTTATGTCATGATTAAAAGAGAAATTACATTTACAAGTTTCTTTTATGTTCAATAAATATATACAGCTATAAATATAAAGCCAAGAGGCTTTGATATTCTTATTGTAAATTGTTAAAAGTAATTATAAAAAATATACACAGGTACCACCCTAAAATTCATAACTTAAAATCCTAAGTTGCAGTCTTAAATGTATTTTTTAAGAAGTTACAATACTTTTTTTAGCTGAACATTGCAATGCATTATTAGGTTTTGAATATTTTTTAAAGGTCATTGATTTATTAATGGGCTTAACTCTTATTTTTATGTTTGGTATGATATAATGGCTGTAGAAATTATTTTCTCTATTTGCATAGCTGTTGCATTTTCAAATCTTTGATTGTGCTTTTTCTAAAAGTAAACATAGTATTCTTTTAATGTTTTGTAATCAAGTTTAACAGTAAGGCTACGGATATGCTGCTTTCTATTGTCAGCAAAAAAAATCTTTTCCAATAGCCTGCAAAACTGGACACCTCTCCTCACAAGTCAGACATCACTTGTCACATCAAACAAGGAAACAGCTTTTGTAGAAGTTCGCATTCAAGGTTGTTGGTTTTCCTGGAAGTCATCAGGCATAGGATACTTTGGACTAAAAACTGTAGAACTTGTTTAGAAAATAATTTTGTTATGAAAACTGAATTTGCAATTTACTGCTTTGTAGCAATAGATTTGGGGCAAAAGAGCCCATTACAGAAACTTATTTTCTTACAAGCAATTGGGCCATTTTATAAGGTTTATATTGCTAGTTTATGATCAATTTGTTCAGCTTAGAATTTTTCATTAGTGAGCTATAACATTGTAAAGGATAACTTTACCATGCTCAATATATATAATGCCAGTTTTTATCTACAGGGAATATTTCATAGACTCATTCACAAATTTTAATTGGGAACAATTTATAATTTAAATTTAAACTAATAATATATGCATTTGAATGGCTGAGTATTTCAGTCATTGTGAATCAAGCATGGGAATAATTTCAGACACTGATGAAATTGAGCTTGTTCTAAGATGAATAATGACAACTGTTTAATAGTGCATGGCTGTGCTAATGACTTAATCTATTTGAAATGGCCAGAGAGCTATATAGGGAAGATATGAGAGAGGCTTTATTATCCTAAAACAGGGATTTACTTTCTGATAAATTCCATATATCCTGTTTAGGGGGTATATGTCTGCTTCTTGTTCAGTTAGCTTCACTTGCTCTAGGAGCAACAGAATGTCTCACTGGTAGGTAGCAGTGCTTTTTTTGAACTTAAGGGGTGCCAGATGGCAACTACAGAAGAGACATTGTGAAGCTCAAATACCTGTAAATGGGAAAAGTTGTTGAATTGAGTGACAGTGGGCAAACTTGGCAAAGGAGATACCAGTGTTTTACCTCTGTGAAAAGCTTCATGGCTCACCACTTGTAAAATCAATGAAAAAAAGAATTTTATCTTCCATCAGAATGGCCTTCAGAATTTAGGCTGCCTACAAATTAGGAGTAGAATGTCCTGTAATATGACTCAAGGGCATAGGAACTTTCTCTTTTTCCATTTGCCCATTAAGACAATGCTTTTACCAATTGAGGGATAGAATTTGAATACTCTTCATGGAGCTTTTAATATTATAGTCTACCAATTGCAAGTTATGATAAATTGTTCTGAAGAATGTTTAGAAAATCAATCCGTAAAAAATGCTGCATAGAGTAGTTCAGGGAAAGTTTTACCAAAAAAAAATTTAAAATATCAGAAATTGGAAATACAACCATTTAAGGTAGTTTTTTTCTTTAAAGCATTTGATGCTGGTCCTGATGAGAACAGAATTCTGTGCACAGTGGCACACAGTTTTAAGGATTACTAGTCTCCAAAGATCATCTTGGTCCAGTGTTTCAGAGCTCACAAATTATGGACACAAATGATTATGTGTTTTCTGGAGTGTCAGTGTTCTGCAGTCTTCTTTGGTGCAAGAAACTGAGTTATTCTTCTTTGCAGGATGATTTATGTATCTGATGTGGATTTTTTGCAATAGTTGCATAATCCTTGTAGTAGTAGGGGTCCAGTATTGTTTGACATCTTCATTTATGGTCTGGATGATGGGGAAGAATGCACCCTCAGCAAGTTTGCAGATGTTGGGAAACTGTGAAAAGTGTTTGATACGCCAGATGGAGGTTCCTGTTCAGATGGACTTTGACAAGCTGGAGAAATGAGCCAACAGGAACCTCATGAAATTCAATGATTACTGAACTGAGAGAACAGAACTGATATATTATGACTTCCCTTTTCAATTTTTCTGCTCTATGTATTGTGATTAAAAAATAGTTGACTTTTTGAATATCCTCACAATGTTTTAAAATGTAATGTAGCTGTGCATAGAAGTATGACTGATATTTCAATGGTTTGTTTTAGTCGTAAAAATTATTTCTTTCTTATTTATTGATTTTTCACCCAATGATTTGGCTTGGGTAAATAGAATAGAAAACCAGGTATTGTAACAGCACTGTCACCTCTAATTAGACATTCAAAAAGGTGATTTTAGAAATGTTAAGATTCTACTTACCACTTATTTTATTTTAGGTTCTGTGGTCTTTGGAATTAGGCCATTGGATCTCAGAGGAACCATATGAGCTTTCATCCAGCTTCCCTGCAGCTCCTGTAAGTTTAATGGTCTTTTAAGCTTATGAGCCTTCTTTTGTTTATCTGGAAAAAGATTTGCCCTCTAAATAGGTTTAGTGAATAAGGAAGCCTACTAGAATTTTTTTTTTTTTAAGCAGATACAGTAAGGGGTTATATTCTTCTTCATCCAATACTTTTTGAAGTGTGTGCAAAAACTTTGGTACATGTGGAAAATACAAAATGTTGATTCACCAATTAACACCTGAATAAACCAGCATCTTACTGAAATATAAATGTACTTTAATTTTATTTCTATTTGTACCTCTGTGCAAACTGGAGAGGTATGTTATTGCCAAATGGAAAGATTTGCAGATCAGGGACTCAGTTTTTTTGGCCCAGAAATTACTTGGGCAATGGAAAATTACTGTGGTCTTCTAGAACTGCTAAGTAGGAAAAAATGAAGCATTTTTCCTGCCTCTAATAATCATTCTCAAGTACTGAATTGGGAACTAGTGCACAAGTGGGTATGCAGGGGCATGATGTATCTGTGTAGACCTCAGTGCACTTCATGTGTTGTAATTGATGAAACGGGAATCTTACTTTGGTTTTAAAACAAGTAGAAGTCTAGCTGGTTACTAGTCAATCATTCCAATAATTTTCCCTCTACTAAATTAGTGTCTGCAATTTGTTTTTCAAAGTTTCATACCAGCTTTGAAGAAATTGCAGTTAATGGGGTATGAAAATTATTTTTACTGTAATTTTATTAACTGTTAAGAACTTACATTTAGCATTCTTTCTAAATCTAGAACTTATGTAAATTTTCATATCCAACATTGATATGTATTATTTATTATATGTATTATTTATTTCATGATTGTAAGGTGTATGTTCTCAAAGCTTAGGGAAACTGTAGCAGTTCATCTCAAATAACCCTTAAAGAAATTAATTATCCATTATAAGTTCATATTTTTTATAAAATGGGAAAATAGATTGTTTTATATAGCAAATACAGTAAGAATGGTAAACCTTAATGTGAAAAATAAATAAGAAGCATGTTCTCTTTTTTCTCCTTTTCTATATTTCAATGAAAAAATCTGCACTGAATTTCATATTAGGTTGCTTTGAGTTTTCTGTTTCTTTTCAGACTACCTTGATTAACAACAAAGTATGCTATTAGTAACAATGTACGTAGCATTCTTTAGAGGTGAATCCTCCTGGGGTTTTTTTTGAGATTCCCTTTAGAGATTTCATTCCTGAAGCCCAAGTAAGGAGAATTTGAGAGATGGTGAGAATGTGAAATTAAGGGAGGTTAGGGTTGTGCTAAGAACCTGAATCACTTCTTTTTGCAATGTGCAGTTCTTGCAAAGGAACAAAGTTGAAGTCCAGGACAATATTTCCACTACCATTTCTTGTTTAGTCACTCTAATTTCTTACTGTAACAGATACCTTAATTTTTTTCCAGCTGCGATTATTATTTGAGCATAAATTTATTCATGTGGTTTTATTTGTCTTTTTTTTTTTCTTGTTTCTTTCCTGCTTCCTACAAAGTGCTTAGAGAAAATGGAAATGCATTCTAGTTTCACATACTGTTTATTTGATTACAGGAAGGAATTAAAAGTATGGGTGACCTTGCTGTTATGTTTTTACTTGTTTGTACCAAGTCAAAAGTAGGTTTTGCAGCCTTCTGCTTCCTATTATTGCCTTCCTTCTGACATGTCCTCCTGTTGCTTCACTTTGGTCTTTGGTGCTCAAGCCATGTAGTCTTCTTTAGATGAAATGTCATTTAAAGACACATTCCCCTAACATTTTAGAACAGTCATCAGCCTCAAATTCTATAAATTTTTTTTTCAACAAATAAAAACTAGCCATGCAGTATTATATTATTTTAGTCATACAGGGTTTTCCTTACTAAAATAAAGAAAGTTATTGTCAACCAGAAGTTAGCACCGCTTTTCTTTGTTAGACTGAGCATTCAGATGCCATCATGGTTTTTAAGAACATTTTGGAGGATTTTTGTTTGTTTGTTTTGTTGGCTTTTTTTTCTCTTTCCTTGTATTATTGGTGTGGATATGCTTATTGTCTCAAATATTGGGAGTATTTTCTGTAGTTGTCTGATTAAATGTACCAACACAGGAAATGCAGTAAGTAGACTCAGCATTTCTATTAAATTTCATAGAATCATAAAGCATTTTAGATTAGCAGGGACTTCTGAAGGTTGTCTAATTCAACACTGTGCTCCAAGGGACTTGTCCAATCCACCCTTCTGCCAATAAATGAATAAATGAAAATGAAAAGGAAAATTCACTTTCCCCAATTCCAAATTGTATTTACTGCCAGTTGTCCCTGTCTCTTGTCTCATAGCACAAAACCTCCAAGGAGGGTCTGGCTTTGTCCTCCCTATACCCTCAATCAAGCACCATTAAGGTCTCCCCTTCCCTTTCCCTGCTCCAGACTGAAAAACAACAGCTCTTGAGGCTTCTCTTGGTATGCTAGGTGCTTGTTGGTGTGTGTGGCCCCTCTACTAGTGTAATGACTCTTCCAGACTTCTGTCTAAGACATTTCTTGAAAATTTGTGAAAGCAATTTTGGGAAGTTTTTTCCTTTTAGTTTGGGATGTGTATATCCTTACAAGTTTTTATTATGAAAAATAATAAAATACTAAACAGTAATTTCAAATACATAGAGATTATTTTATGGAACTCTTCAGACAGTGACTATTAATTTACATTCTTTAGGTTTATATAAAATCAGATCATGAAGTAATATTAGAAATGGTTTTTTGTCTCTGCTACACTTAGCAATGATGACACATTTTCACTTAAGAAGAATGGTGGTAGTGTGAGTGGTGGGGTACTCTGATAGCAGCTTTAATGATTGTCAGTCTAAAACGGAGAGATTTCTTCAGTCTTTCTCAAAACCACTTACTATTTTCAAGATAGAAACATAGAATCATCAGGTTGGCAGACACCTACAGGATCATCCAGTCCAACAGTCCACCCAGCACTTCCACTGTAACCTGTAAACAGCGTCACCCACCAGATCCAGATGCCTCTTGAACACCTCTAGGGATAGTGACTCCACAACCTCTCTGGGCAACCTGTTCCAATGCCTGACCACTGTAACACTGAAATTTTTTTCTAATACCTAATCTGAATCTGCCCTGACTCATCTTAAGGCCGTTTCTTCTGGGCCTGCCACTGCCAGCAGAGTACAAGAGAGATCAGACCCCACCTCACTACAACCTCCTTTCAGGTGATTGTAGGGAGTGATGAGATCCCCCCTTAGCCTCCTCCATCTAAACAACCCCAGATCCCTCACCCCTTCTTGTACAATATTTTTTCTAGACCTTGTTGGCTTTACAACAGCTTTTGTTAAGCTAGCTTCCGGAAATATGTCTGGGATTTTTGTTTTGTTTTGGGTCAAGTTCTTGCATTGTAACTAGTTCAATCTTCTGCTGAAATCAAAGCTTTACAAAAATATTAGGCAAAGAATAAGCATAAGAATTAAAAACTAAACTTAATTTGGAGAAAAACCTCCACTAAATTATTGTGATGTATGAAGAAATATCTTCTCAATCTGATTTGCAATTTTAAAGCATATAGTAATAAAATGAAGGGGAGAAAAAAGAAAAAAAAAAGGAAAGATCACCCAGTAGAGTAATTTATTCACATTGTGGTGTACATTGAGGGCCTACCTACAGAGAAATTTTAGGGAGAAGTCCTAACCTTACTGAAAAAAACCCATAGTGTGACCTTAGATAATTTTCAGATTATTTTTCTTCCTGTTCTTAAAATATAGTAATTTGTATCTTAAGTCATAAGCATAATTTTAATTGTATCAAAGAACATGCATATGTTTTTCAGTCAGGTTATTTTTACAAAACATAGAGTTATATTACATCACCAGGTGATTGATGATTGTCACAGACAACCGGACATCTGGTGTTAATGCCGTTGTCTCGGTTTACAAAATACTGGACAGTTATTTTACAGGTAAATGACAAGGGAAGGAAAAAAAGTGCAATCTTCATAAAAATGTATAGGAATACATGCTGTATTGTAATTCATAGGGCTTTTCTATAATTTAAAGACAGTGACTGAAACAGACTGAAAAAATTATGACTTTTGTAAATGGTATTTCCCAAGAATAAATGCACACTACTTAAATGCTATTTGTCCTCTGTTAAACATAGTCATACAGGCTACTGGAAAAAATCCTCAAATAAGAGTAAAAAGTTGTTTAGGAGACTATGGGGGGAAAGAATGTATTCCCTAACTATAGTATTGAGCTAATTACAGAAAAGTTTTTTTTTATGTACATATAGGGCACACATGACACAGAACGATAAATAGTTCTAGATCTAGCTAGAACTAAGCTAGAACTAGCTAAGTGTTTTATATTAATGTTTAAAGTTCAGTGGTGAGGCAAAATGCACATTCCTAAAACTATTTTAGGGTTTTTTTCACAGTTCCAGTTATTTACTAACACATACATAACATAAATGATCAGTAAAACAGAGTCCTTGAAGTTGTCTGACGGTTTCTTGGATGTTCTTTTTATTGAGTCATTTGGCCAAATCACTGTTATATCAGGTCGATGCTTTAGACATTGTGTCTGGTTGAATAATACGAGCCTTAGCTGATCAAGACAATTACATTTCAGGAACTGTACTGTACTGACCCCTTCAGAACACTAGTGCATGTTTCTGGGCTTGAAAAAATGAGACAAGTTGCTTGGTAAAATAAGTCTTTGAAGACTATACAAAACATAATTCACACAATGACAAAGCATTTAGAAATCTGCTGGTCGAATCATCATCGTCGTAGCTTTGAGAGAGTATCCCGAGCCCTTCCAGTAGTACCACTTGATCCCATTAAACTTGTTGTTGTTCTGTCGTAATGGATAGTACATTCCATTGAGGTTAGAAGGACCACATGCGTCAAACCACCATCCTGCAAGACAGAAGACAAACATCAGCAGAAGTAATTCTGAAAATAGTATTTAAAGTCACTTTTTGTCTGGAAATGAGAAAGGAATCGA